CGGGCCCTGGGGACTTATTTTGCTTCAGTTTGTCTAACTGTTTGATAACCATGTCCCTCGTGACAGTAATATTAGTTAATTTGAATTCATCAGGAACTGAAAATTTTTTAATTTCTGGAATCTCATTTGTCTTCCTGTGTAAAAATTGACAAAAAACAGGCATTAAATAAGAAACACATTTCCAGTTCATTATCCATCAGCTGTCCATTCCCAATTTTCAGAGGTCCTACTTTTTCCTTCACCTTCGTCCTGTACACTTGAAAGATTCCTTTTGGATTGGTCTCTGATTCATTAGCAACCCTAATTTCAGCCACGCTTAACCTTCCTAATCCCCTTTTTTACTTCTCTTTTAAGCTGAGCATATTGGTCAGTAAGGTTAATTAACCTCTCCTCTTCTGATGCGCCTATAAATTCCCCTTTTCTGCCCTAATAGATGCTTTAACCTCCTGTTAACCCATTTGGGATCATTATTATAAGACCTAATTTCTCTCTGGGGAATGTATATACTCTGAGCACGGTGTACATTATTAAGACAAAAATCATAAACGCAGATCCCTTCGTAATCATAAGCATGATCATCGTCAATAAAATCATTAACTAGATAACCCCAATCGAGATTAGACAGGTGTTCCCTAAGTCCATTGTAATCGGCAGAATGAAAATCAGGGATTTTTACCGTATTATCGTTATTCTTGTATTCCCAGTTAATGCTAAAAGTGATGGATTTGTGATCACTTGCGCCAAGCTCTTCAGTGATCTCCAGATTATTTACGAGTGTTTCCTTATTTGACAAGACTAGGTCGAGCAAATTATTACTCCTGGTAGGCTCTGTTACACACTGAACTGTTTCCATAAAGTCACTGGACTCCAGATTACCAGTCAAAGAATTCCAGTCAACTTGACTAAAGTTAAAATCCCCTACTATTACTACGTTATTATGTCTAAAAGCCCTAACAATTTCGTCCCAAAAAAGTCTCTCTCTATCGTGATCCAAGCCTGGAGGTCGGTATATCACACCCAAAATTAGTTTTTCTTGACCTTCAACAAACTCTACCCAAACAGATTCTGTTATTATTCCATCTATTTTTATACCTGTTTTTATGCAACAATTAATATCAAAATGACCTCTACCCAAAGCTACCCAAGAATTTACTCCTGTACCCAATGACACAAATCAAACCCAGCCCCTCCCACTCATATATTTGTCCAATCTCTTTTTAAAGCTGCCTAAAGTCCTAGCCTCAATCACCCTACTGGGAAGATTGTTCCACGCATTCACAACTCTGTTAGAAAACCAGTACATGTACTTACCTATGTCCTTTCTAAATCTAAATTTATCCAACTTAAATCCATTATTTCTGGTTCTTACCTGGTTCGACACCCTCAGTACTTTATTAATATCTCTTTTGTTTATGCCCGTCATTCACTTATACACTTCAATGATATCTCCCCTCATTCTACGTCTCTCCAGAGAGTGGAGATTTACGGCTTTAAGTCTATCTTCATACGGGAGATTCCTTACACAGTAAATCATTTTAGTTATTTTTCTCTGTCCTTTATATAATTGCTACTATATAAAGGGCATGCGCAGTTTGGGCCAACAGGCCTGCTGCAGTGTTCCTCCTTTCAATGTTCTTATGTAATAGAGAAGGGACACTGAAACACGCCTTCTCAAATCCATCCATATACATTTGCCCAACCTATTTTTGATGCTACTCAAGCCATAGCTTTTGTAACCTTTCTTTCTCATGTACCAGCTGACTTTTCCACCACATGTATAACTACTACCTCTACTTGTCTGGGCGAAACATTGTCAATACAGGATCACATGCTGCTGCCAGATGTACGGTCCTAAGTCGAGTGGTCGTATGTCGCGCAGGTCATAAGTCAGATGGTACCTGTATATAGTCAAAGTTGAACAGGAAATGGCGGACGCTTCTGCCGCTGCCTCTGCCACCATATTATGGCCTATTTTATTCATTCTAGAGTACATATCATGTTTGTGTTAATTATATTGTTTATGATGTCATATTAGATGAATTGTGATAGATAAATAAGGCATACAGTTGATAATAGCATCATATTCAAGTATTTTTTCTTGTCTCTCCAGAGTGTAGGAACGGATTAATGGCTTTTCAATTAATTTAAATGAGGAAAATTAATTTGATATACGAGTAAACTGAGTTACGAGCTAGCTCCTGGAGCGGATTAAACTTGTAAGTCAAGGTTCCACTGTAATTAGATTCTAATACATATGTATCAGGCTAAGAGCTGTTATCCTACCTCAGCTCATTTCAAAACCCAGTCCTATCTAAGGCATACTACCATCCCCCAAGATGCACCCCACAACAGGCGACTAACACCCAAGTACAGTGGACCCTCGACCAATGATACTAATCCGTTCTAGAGAGCTTGTCATTAGTCGAATTTATCATTAGTCAAATTAATTTTCCCCATAAGAAATAATGGAAATCCAATTAATCTATTCCAGACACCCAAAAGTATGAAAAAAAAAATTTTAACATGAAATACACATTTTCTACACAGAAAAAGAAGGATACATGCACAATAAATAATGTACTGTACTAAATGAAGAATAAATGGCACTTACCTTTAATGAAGATGTAATGATGAGATGGGAGGAGGGGAGATGGGGTGTATTAATTTTTGGAAGGAGAATCCCCTTCCATAAGGACTTTAGGTAGCAAGTCCTTTTCTGGGGTTACTTCCCTTCTTTGTTTTTTAATGCCACTGGGAACAACTTGAGAGTCACTGGTCCTCAGTCACACCAAAAATCTGTTCATAAAGCTCTGTACCTCGTGTTCCTTTGAGATTTTCCTAAAGTGAGTCACAACATTGTCATTGTAAAAGTCACCAGCATGGCTTGCAACAGCTGTGTCAGGGTGATTTTCCTCCATAAAGGTTTGCACCTTTCTCCACATTGTACAAATTTCCTTAATCGTTGAAGAAAGAAACTTCCTCAATTTCTCTGTCCCCTCCTCTGAAGAAATTTCCTCAGTTGTGGCCTCTTGCTGTTGCAGATGTTCTTGCAGCTCATCAGTGGTTAGTCCTTCATTGTCGTCCTCCACCAACTCTTCTACATCCTCTCCACTAACCTCCAATCCCAAGGACTTTCCCAATGCCACAAATGATTCCACAACTAGCATAGGCTTCTCAGGGTTAGCCCCAAACCCTTCCAAATCCCTCTCTTGCAGACATTGTGGCCACAATTTCCTCCAAGCAGAGTTCAAGGTCCTGTTAGTCACTCCCTCCCAAGCTTTACCTATAAGGTTTATGCAATTGAGGATACTAAAGTGATCTTTCCAAAACTCTCTCAGGGTCAACTGAGTGTCTGAGGTCACTTCAAAGCACTTTTGAAACAGTGCTTTGGTGTACAGTTTTTTGAAATTTGAAATGACCTGCTGGTCCATGGGCTGGAGGAGAGGAGTGGTGTTAGGAGGCAAAAACTTCACTTTTATGAAACTCAACTCCCCCGGAATTCACTCTGGCAAGTCTGAAGGATGACCAGGAGCACTGTCTAATACCAGGAGGCACTTAAGGTCCAATTTATTTTCCAGGAGGTAATTTTTCACAGTGGGGCCAAACACATGATAAAACCAGTCATAGAAAATGTCCTAGTGATCCATGCCTTACTATTTGCCTTCCACATCAAACAAATTAGCCTTGACAACATTGTTTTTCTTGAACACTCTGGGAGTTTCAGTGATACACGAGTAAAGGCTTCACTTTGCAATCCCCACTAGCATTACTACACAACATTAAAGTTAGCCTGTCTTTCATAGGCTTGTGTCCTGGCAGTGCTTTTTCCTCCTGTGTAATGTAGGTCCTGTTTGGCATTTTTTTCCAAAATAGGCCTGTTTCGTCACAATTAAACACTTGTTGGGGTTTGAATCCTTCAGCCTCTATGTACCCCTGGAATTCCTGCACATATTTTTCAGCCACTTTTCTGTCCGAACTGGCAGCCTCACCATGCCTTATCACACTGTGTATGCCACTATGATTCTTAAATCTCTCAAACCAACCTTTGCTGGCCTTAAATTCACTCACATCACCACTAGTTGCAGTAATTTTTTTAATTAAATCATCATGCAACTGCCTTGCCTTTTCACATATGATGGATTGAGAGATACTATCTCCTGATACATATATCTGTTTTTAATTTATCCACAACAACAACAGTCTCTCAACATCTTCGAATACTTACGATCTGTGTTTCAAAAACATACTTGCACCTTTCGCAACAGCTTCCTTGATTGCCTTTCTGTTGGCCAAGATAGTAGCGATGGTTGATTGGGGCTTGTTATACAATCTGGCCAGCTCGGAGACACACACTCCACTCTCATACTTATCTCTCTCTTCTTTTCAACTGTAATTCTCACCCTTTATACCACAGGGTTGGCACTAGAAGGTTTCTTGGGACCAGGGTGGCTTATTTAGCAGTTACAAGCACTAAAAACACTGGAATAATACAAAATGTACCGATTGTATGTGTGGAATCGACTGCACTGGCTTGTAAATACTGGCACACTAACTGAAGGCAGGGCAGCTAAGGTGCGCTCAGGCCAGACGGGACACGTGGACGCGTTCGAGACGAATGATGTTAGTCGAGTTTTTCATTGGTGGTCGGGCCAAAATTTTTACGCTCAAACACTTCATTAGTCAAATTTTTTGTTAGATGATGCCTTCATTGGTCGGGGGTCCACTGTACCCACTTCTAGGTGAATAAGGGCAACAGGTCTAAGGATACATTCCCAACATTTTCACCATGCAGGAGATCAAACCATATTTGCATAGGTGCTGATTTGATACAAGTTCCCTCATGTTATGAAAGGTCTCTCGGTGGGCTAATATCATTCTAGTAATGAATATTACTTGACATAAAAAGTTGATTCCATCATGTTACAAAAGGTTCCCAGTAGGTTAAATATCATTCTGGCAGTTTATATTGAGAGACATATGAAAACAAGTGGATTACTCACAGTACTTGAAATTGAAGCCAACAGTTTGCCTTGGAATTCACACAGAGAATAACATGCTCCCTTTATCTCTTTCTCTGCCACCTGAAATTAAAAGATTTGTGATTAGGCTAGGCTGGGTATAAGACAAATGCACATTATATCAACAGGATTTCCCTTATATATTTACTAGCATATGCTCATCACAAACCAACACTGACTTACTTTCTTTAGCTCTTTCACTATAGCATCCCCTGAAATTAAAATTGCCAGCAGTGTGGCAATAAAAAAATAATAATTTTTCTTCTAAAGTGGTAGAGAATCTTTTTCTGAAGGTAATTACACCAAAAAGGCTAAAATATGATGAAAAACTTACAGAACTAAGCAGGTTTGGGCATAATTTATGCATAGGTGATTTTGCCCACTTTGAGTCCCATTTTAAGGCAATTCCATTGATCAATTCCTAGCTATTTTGCTAGTATGCTGTCCATTTTGTTGATTGAGCAGAAGAAACTGCCTATTCAACTATCAAAACTAACTTATAAGTGCACAGAATTCAGTAATTTAGCAAATTTTATGCAAAATTCAACAAATTCAAATTTAAAGCCAGCTCAAAATAAACAGTGTAGGGATTCCCACAACTAAGGCAATCTATCCTCTGCTCATTACCCACATCCCCTGGCCTATCCTACTGAATACCTGCCCTCCATTTTTGAATCCATCATCACAGAAATTTAATGTTGTACCTTATTTCTTGGATAATAGTTTAACCCTTTCAGGGTTTCCGACGTACTAGTACGGCTTACGCACCGGGGTTATTGACGAACTAGTACGCCTAAATTCTAGCGCCTTCAAATCTAGCAAGAGAAAGCTGGTAGGCCTACATATAAAAGAATGGGTCTGTGGTCAGTGTGCACAGTATAAAAAAAAATCCTGCAGCACACAGTGCATAATGAGAAAAAAAAAAATTGTGTTTTTGGTTTAAAACAGCGACTTTGCACTGTATTTTTGTATGGTATTTATGGTTGTATTCTAGTTTTCCTGGTCTCATTTTATAGAATGGAAGACATATTACAGAAATTGAGATGATTTGTATTGGTTTCACAATGAAAAGTACATTGAAATTGAGCTCAACGTAGCAGAAATGTTAGATTTTTGCCAAAGTTCAAAAGTAAACAAATCATGCCATGCGTCCAATACACGTCAACTGGTGAGTCTGATATTCTTTCACAAGTAAGCTGATATTATTTATACCATTTCTACACTAATGCAGTAGTCTGCATAACAGTAAATGTTCTATTTTTTGTGAGAATAAAAATTCAAAGTGGAAAGCAAAAGAATTGTAAGAGGGGCCTGGGGATGTGACTAATGAACAGAGGAAATGTTATTTTAGTGCCAGGAATGTCTGTCTTGTTTATTCTGGACCCTATTTGGAGATTGGCATCTTTTGAAATTTGTGTGAAATTGGCAAAGTTGCCAATTTCTGACCACTTTATTGGATAGTTGAAATCGGAAAATGGGTGGTTTCTTGTACTCATTCAATAGAAAAAATGGAATTGGCCGAAAATAGGGCTCAAAGTGGGCAAAATCGCCAATGCGTAAACATTGTCGAGACCTCTAACTTTGCGAGAGAATAATTCCGTAAGTTTTCCATCAAATTTCATACTTTTGGTGTCATTATGATTGGGGAAAAAATCTCTATCTTTTCATAAGAAAAAATAATTTTTTTTTTTTCCGAAAAATTTTCGACCCTGAGAACAAGTTTAGGAGACGGCCTCTCGACCCTGAAAGGGTTAAGTCATATCACTAATTAAAGCAGACCCATTAAAACCCTATGAGACAGACCAAGGAGGTGTGAGGGTGGTCTCTATTTTTCAAGAAAATCACCAAAAATAAAATATTTCCACTACTCTGAGTCATATTTCAAGCTACTTCTGAGCTGAAAATGATCAAAATCATCTCTATTTCACTAGTATGTCTTCCAGTCTATCAATACAAAAAGGCTTAAAAACCACCTCAAAGTTACTATTTTAAACTAAACACAAGGAGAGAGGTTTGCTTTGTCTATCATGCACTGCTTGGGGAGAATTTTTTTTTTATATTATGGACACTCACTGCATAGGTCCAGTCTCTTATGTCTAGGCCACAATTTACTGCTCACAGCATATCTGAGGGCATTGTGCTTAAAATGTACATCTATGTGAGCAACACTGGTGTGATTAATGTAAATCAATGTGGGAAACAGTGAAAGGGTTACTACCTTCTTTATCTTTGTGTATCCTCTATTTTATTTTCCAACAATACTTTCCTGTTCTTTCCAGGAGAGTGCCTTCCCAACCTACTAACACGGGCAGAGGAGAAATGATTATCACACATGCATTCAAAGAATGACTAATGAGGTATTTATTAAGAGCATTCCTCATGCAACTTTTATATCAATAAACCCTTTCAGTGTCGGGACCCTTACTCCCAAACTTGCTCCCAGGGTCAAAGAATTTAAAAAAAAAAATTATTTTATCTTATGAAATAACAGAGAAACTTTTAATGAAACCAAAAGTACGAAATTTGATGGAAAACTTACAGAATTATGCTCTCACAAAGTTAGCAGTCTCGGAGATATTTACGCATTGGCAATTTTGCCCATTTTACGCTCTATTTTTTGGCAAATTCCTTTGTTCTAATCGACCAAACTCATAGCTATTTTGCTAGTATTCCTTCTATCAAATTAGTACAAGAAACTGTCCACTTATCTATTTCAACTACCCAATAAATTGATCAGAAATCGGTAATTTGGCCAACTTCACACAAAATTCAACAACTGCCAATTTGAAAATAGGGTCCAGAATAAACAATGTAGAAATTCCTGGCACTAAAACATTTTATCTGCTCCTTCGTCATGTTTCCAGGCCCCTCTTATGTTACGCTTGCTTTTCATTTTAAATTTTTAGTCACACAAAAAATAGAAAATTTATTTTTACGCAGACTACTGCATTACTGTAATCATCTTTCGACAAACTGGCTGTATCCCACCGAGGGAAGGCGACCCAAAAAGAAAAATGAAAGTTTCTCTTTTTAAATTTAGTACAGTGGTCCCTCAATAATTGTCCATAATCTGTTCCTGGAAGTGGGACTATTATCGAAATGGACGATTTACAAATCAATTTTCCCCATAAGAAATAATGTAAATTTAATTAATCCGTTCCTGACACCCAGAAGTATTAAAACAAAAAATTTTTTACATGAAATATACATGTACATAAATAATACAGTGGCACATGATGAATTAAACATTAACAGAATAACACTTACCTTTATTGGCGATTCTTCTTTGTGTATGGAAGACTGGAGAAGGAGGCAGATTGGATGATTTACTGTTTGGAAGGGGAATCCCCTTCTATCAACACCTCGGGAACCAATTGCTTTTCTGGGGTTACTTCTCTTTTCTGTTTCTTAATGCCACTAGAACCACTCTCTGGCATTTTCTTCCGAAAGAGTCCTGTTTCATCACAATTGAACACTTGTTCAGGTTTCAGTCCTTCACTGTTTATGTACTCCTTGAATTCATGCACATATTTTTCAGCCGCCTTGTGGTCCGAACTGGCAGCCTCACAATGCCTTACCACACTGTGTATGCCAGTACGCTTCTTAAATCTCTCAAACCAGCCTTTGCAGGCCTTAAATTCACTCACATCACCAATAGTTGCAGGCAATTTCTTTACCAAATCGTCATGCAACTGCCTAGCCTTTTCACAAATAAGTGACGTCATAAGATTATCTCCTGCTAATTGTTTCTCATTTATCCACACCAATAATAACTTCTCAACATCTTCGAGTACTGGTGATCTCATTTTTGTCAGCATAGTTACCCCCTTTGCAACAACAGCATCCTTGATTTCCTTTTTCTTGGCTATGATGGAAGATATGGTTGTACGGGATTTGTTATACATCCTGGCCAGTTCACCCACACGTACGCCACTATCATATTGTTCAATTGGTTACAGGAAAGTGGGTGCGGGAGGGAAGAGGAGCGATTGGTGGAATGATGATGTAAAGAGAGTAGTAAGGGAGAAAAAGTTAGCATATGAGAAGTTTTTACAAAGTAGAAGTGATGCAAGGAGGGAAGAGTATATGGAGAAAAAGAGAGAGGTTAAGAGAGTGGTGAAGCAATGTAAAAAGAGAGCAAATGAGAGAGTGGGTGAGATGTTATCAACAAATTTTGTTGAAAATAAGAAAAAGTTTTGGAGTGAGATTAACAAGTTAAGGAAGCCTAGACAACAAATGGATTTGTCAGTTAAAAATAGGAGAGGAGAGTTATTAAATGGAGAGTTAGAGGTATTGGGAAGATGGAGGGAATATTTTGAGGAATTGTTAAATGTTGATGAAGATAGGGAAGCTGTGATTTCGTGTGTATAGGGCAAGGAGGAACAACATCTTGTAGGAGTGAGGAAGAGCCAGTTGTGAGTGTGGGGGAAGTTCGTGAGGCAGTAGGTAAAATGAAAGGGGGTAAGGCAGCCGGGATTGATGGGATAAAGATAGAAATGTTAAAAGCAGGTGGGGATATAGTTTTGGAGTGGTTGGTGCAATTATTTAATAAATGTATGGATGAGGGTAAGGTACCTAGGGATTGGCAGAGAGCATGCATAGTTCCTTTGTATAAAGGCAAAGGGGACAAAAGAGAGTGCAAAAATTATAGGGGATAAGTCTGTTGAGTATACCTGGTAAAGTGTATGGTAGAGTTATTATTGAAAGAATTAAAAGTAAGATGGAGAATAGGATAGCAGATGAACAAGGAGGCTTTAGGAAAGGTAGGGGGTGTGTGGACCAGGTGTTTACAGTGAAACATATAAGTGAACAGTATTTAGATAAGGCTAAAGAGGTCTTTGTGGCATTTATGGATTTGGAAAAGGCGTATGACAGGGTGGATAGGGAGGCATTGTGGCAGATGTTGCAGGTGTATGGTATAGGAGGTAGGTTACTGAAAGCAGTGAAGAGTTTTTACGAGGATAGTGAGGCTCAAGTTAGAGTATGTAGGAAAGAGGGAAATTATTTCCCAGTAAAAGTAGGCCTTAAACAAGGATGTGTGATGTCACCGTGGTTGTTTAATATATTTATAGATGGGGTTGTAAGAGAAGTAAATGCAAGGGTCTTGGCAAGAGGCGTGGAGTTAAAAGATAAAGAATCACACAAAGTGGGAGTTGTCACAGTTGCTCTTTGCTGATGACACTGTGCTCTTGGGAGATTCTGAAGAGAAGTT